AAAGGTGTGTAGATGTATGTAAGCAAAACAGACAATTATCTTTTCTTGTAAAACGTGACAACAATATCGCGAATTCGAAAGTGTAAGCACCCCAAGCCCGGCTTATAACACAGCAACAGAGGATCTCCCGTTCACAAAATTCAAATCACAAATAATACTGATGAAAAAGAACGGGTTGAATGTTAACCACTTTTGTTTCCATATAACTATAAACTATGATAAAAGCATGCATTGATTAATCCCATGTTGTAGTGCAAAAAAAACAAACAAACATATTGCGACCAAATCATGTGCTCGTGCGACCAACTGAGAAAGTTAGTCGCAAAAGAGTGACCAGTGGGAAGAATTAGTCTGGAGCCCAGATCTGAAATTTGCATAACAGGTAAAAGCAACACATTTACTTATTGCTTTGCATATAAGAATAATCTGATATATTATCTCTGTGTGTACATATCCTATGCTGTACATTAAAAACAAGCATCTGTTACAATATACTCACATCACAAAATGGGTACACTGTGGTCATAAACTGATGGACATTCTCAGGTAGACTGTGACATTTAAACAATGCTCAATCTGTACTAAGGGGCCCAAAGTGTGCCAAGAAAATATGCCCCACACTATTACACCAGCACCAGCAGCCTGAACTGTTGATGCATGGCAGGATAGATCCATGCTTTCATGATGTTTCTGCCAAATTCTGACCCTACCATCCAATTGCTGCAGCAGAAATCGGACTCATCAGAGCAGGCAACCTTTTTCCAATTTTTTATTGTCCAAGTCTGCTGAGCCTGTGCGAATTGTTGTCTCAGTTTCCTGTTTTTAACTGACAGGAGTGGCACCCAGTCTTCATCTTCTGTAGCCCATCTTCTTCAAGGAGATTCAACGTTCAGAAATGCTCTTCTGCATAGCTTGGTTGTAACGTATGGTTATTTGAGTTACTCTCGTCTTTCTATCACCTGGAACGTTTCTGACCATTCTCCTCTAAAATCAACAAGAAATTGACAGAAACCTACAGAAATGCTGCTTACTGGATATTTTCCCTTTTTTGGATCATTCTCTGTAAATGGTTGTGTGAGAAAATCGCAGTAGATCAGCAGTTTCTGAAATACTCATATCAGCCTGTCTTGCTCCATGTTCAAAGTCACTTGACCTTCTCTACATGCCTAAATGCACTGAGTTGGCATGTGATTGGCTGATTAGAGAATAATGACAATCACATCAGACTGCTCTGACAAGATTAGAGTGGACTCATAGAAATACTTCACCTTAGATTTGTCATGCCACCAAATTAAAACCCAACCAAATTATCTCATAACAAATTACGAGCATAACATCACAAATGTCCACGCTGACACATATAGGCTAGAGCTTAGGTGGTTTAAGATGGTCTCCCAGTCTGACCAACAAGAAAAAACACTAAAAATGACTAGCCTGTCCAAGCCGGGAGACCAGCAAACCATCTTAGGCTGGTTTAAGACTTTTTTTTTTCAGCAAGGTTGAAAAGCAAGATTTCACAAGATGACAGAAAATCAGGAATCGGTCAAAGATGAATGTCATTTTAGTCTGTTACTGACAAGTGTCTGTTATTGCTGGTTGTGTTCTCACTCCTCTTGCTAAAGGTCAAACTTCGGTTGCCATGCAAACAAACCAGTTCAAAATGCAAATCAAAGAAGCAAAAAGATGTATTGCGTGTTGTGCTATGGCATATTGAACTGCTACAGGAGCATAACTGTATTCTGATGCTGATCCCACAAAGGAGGAGATGATACTGTCATCATCACCGATGAAAGGCAGGTGCCAATGATGACAGCTTCATTCGCAGCCTGGACTGAATACAATGAATGAATGAATGAATGAATGAATGAATGAATACAATGACAATTCCCATCATTTGACTTACCCAAAATCTTGATCCATAGATTTAAAGAAGAATTTGTAGCTGTTGACCGGTCGGTTGCTGAGGACATTTTTGAAATCTGCCAAAGTTACCTTCTCTGGAGCTACTGACAGTTTCACCAAATAAGGAGTTTTCTCCTCGTCTATATGGTAAATGATTTTAGTCTCCGCCATGAGAATATGGTGAGAACAATTGCCGGAGAACAGCGCGTGTTCCTGATGCTGTCTACACAGACGTGCAGCGACAATCCATAAAATAATGGATGCTAAATGAATACAATCACGCATTTGGCGCGACTGAAGCTATGACTTAAGCGACTTTGTAAGGCTAAGGCTAAGAACACAGCCATTATGGAGGCCTGATAGATGTCTATTGCAGCCCACTATGCGGAGGTTTTGCTACCTGTGTTACCGAAACAGGAAGGAAAGGTTCACATCCTTGAGAGAATCAGTCTGGAATATCCGAGCCGTTCTTCTGCGCAGTGCTGCCATCGTGTGGGAGACAGAACCCATGCACTCTTCTTAGTCTGGATTCGAGCTAGCTCTTGGCAGTTTATTAGTACTTACGAAGCACATATTAATGCCTTCTACATCCTTTAACTCTACCCCATAACCAAACGTAACTACTACAACAACTATCTTACTTCCTATCAATAAACAGCAGCAAGTTAGGAGTTTACTGAGGGGAATATTAATCCTTATTAATAGTGAATATGTGACCCTGGACCACAAAACCAGTCATAAGGTTTATAAATCATCTGAAAGCTGAATAAATAAGATGTATCTTTTACATTGATATATTGTTTGCTTGGATAGGACAATATTTGTTCGAGATACAACTATTTGAATATCTAGAATCTGAGGGCGCAAAAAAATCAAAATATTGAGAAAATCGCCTTTAAAGCTGTCCAAATGAAGTTCTTAGCAATGCATATTACTAATCAAAAAGTAAGTTTTGATATATTTACAGCAGGAAATTTACAAAATATCTTCACGAAACATGATCTTTACTTAATATCCTAATGATTTTTGGCATAAAAGAAAAATCGATAATTTTGACCCATAGGCCTACACTGTATTGTTGGCTATTGCTACAAATATACCCCAGCGACTTATGGCTAGTTTTGTGGTCCAGGGTCACATATGTGTTCCCAACAATCCATTTACCAATGATAATTTAAACCAGCTTGTATAATAATCTAAAAACAATGTAATGTAAAACCCCTAACCCTGTTTTGACAGCACAGATGTGAAATATCTGTCAAAAGTCAGCTGCAATCTTATTGCAGTTCATCAGACATTCCTAATTTGCTGCTGAATAATTTGAATGTTTTATTTTATGTTTTTAATTGTGGTCATGAAAGAGCAAATGGCTGTACTAATGATTTCCAGTATCAAAACTGAGGTGTACTGAGGTGTTCGATTTTGTGTGAGCATAAAATATCTTCTACACGACTCAGCCTATTTGTGGAGAACAGAAAAAAATACCACATACTGTACATTATGCAAAAGATAATCCAGAGGTTAAAATGTGTTTATTCTGCTTTGAATGAGAGAACATTGGCAGTGAACTGGAAAATTAAATCATCAATAATAAAACTGCGTCAGGATGATCCATTATGTGGCATCATGTACCAAAAGCATTGTGGTCTACCCAGCAAATTCCTCTTGCAGCCTTAATCATTGATATTAACACATTCTTATTTGAAGCCTTTAAGGAAATCAAAAGGGCGGCAGGCTGAGTGTCATATAATTATCATAATGGGCAAAAGCATTGCTTCAGCTTCACTATAATAAACTGTTAAAGATAATGCAGTACACATTGCATAACACTGATTTGAGCAAGCTAGAAAAGAAATGTTTGCATCTATAGTGCCTGAATATTCATAGCCATACTATTAACATTTAATTATTTTCATGTTGTACAAGTACCTTGATGCATTTGAATCAGTTTCACACTTAACTGTTTGCTGCAAATGACCTCAAAGCTGCAAGTATGGATGAATACATTAAATGCTAGAATATTCAAATAAACGGTGACAAAGGCAGTTAGTAGGGTTTGTAACATGAGAAAAGTACATATGAAAATAAAAATATACAAACAATAACATGAAAAGACAATATTTCTAGATGACAGGATACAGAAGACTGTGATAGAAAATGTTACACGTTAAGGGAATTGTAGCTTTTTGTGCTAACACAGTTAGTATTGGAAATACAATATCAAAATGAGAAAAAAATACTGATTTAAATGGGTTTAGAATATTATGACTTAATATATTGAAATATTTTGGCTAAACTGACTGTGCGTTCAAATACCAATAAGAATGTAGACTTTAATCTCCATGTTTAAAACTGTTATACAAAACCAGCATAGAAAATTCCAAGATTCAATCTGGGCTAAATTATGATCTTACATAACCACATAGATCAACAATATAAGCAAAATATATTTAACCTAGTATGATTATTAAAATGGAACTTTTAATAATCATGCTGTTCATATAATACAGTAAAGGTATTAAAAATGCTAATGAATTGTATCTTTCAAAAAGCACAGCTTAAACCTATTGAGAAGATAAAAAAAGAATATGAACAAAGCCTAAAAATGCATTTTGTGCTGTAGCAATAGCTTCTGCAATATTTGTGGCCATACAGCTATGGATTTTTAATTACACGTTTAATTACAAAATCATCTAAAACTGTACCATCTAAATTGCTAAGTTTTTTGATTCCCCAAAGAATAAGAAGGTTCTTCCTCACATAACTGTTCATGTCACAGCCTCGGCCAGGCCTCATCCTTAGCCCATACCTCACACCAGTATAAACATTCTGACACTTAGGACACAGAATTCTGGGTGTGTTTTATTCTCACTCATAAAGCGCGCGGCAGCACTGGGCAAAAATTAATTAAAAAAATGCAGTCTTGCATTTTTAAGCTTTTTGCTTGTCATTTTAGTGCTCTGAAACAGTTGTTTGCCATTAGTCTGATATATCAGTTGTCCAAAATACTGCTGGTGAGACTCTGGTGCTTCCTGCAAGCTTCACAAGAGTCAAAAATATGAAGGATCTTGAGTCAGGATAAAAAAAAAAAAAAAAGATTCATCCGTTTCCAAATCTGCCCCTGGACCAGCCAGTGGCAAGGTACCTCTTATTTCCAAGATGGCTTCTCCATCTCTGCAGAGAAAAAAAATTAAAGAGAGAGAATTTGTGAATTTTGGAAAACATAATCAAATTTCAGAGGAATTTTGGTTTGCAAGTTGTTGGTTTTTTGAAAGAAATCTTAAATGGTTAGTTCACCCAAAAATGAAAATTCTGTCATTAATTACTCACCCTCATGTCGTTCCAAACTTGTAAAACCTTCGTTCATCTTTGGATGAATTTTCATTTTTGGGTGAACTAACCCTTTACTATTTTTGTGGAAACGACAATAAAAAAATTTTTCAAGGTTCTTTGATGAATAGAAAATTCAAAAGAAATGGATTCTTTGCTGAAGTCTTTACTGTGATATTTAAACAATTGAAAGCAATTTAATGCAACTTCCGACAACTAGTCTGGTATTTCTAGTTGTCTTAGTGAACTTTTGGCTTTATTCTTTGAAGTGAGCCACATGTTAGCTTTGTAAACCTCTCTCAGACAAGGAAAATGGCAAAAACAATCACAACCAATGATTCTACCTCTGTCCAGGTCAATAGCTTTTTGGGAGCAAAGTTTGGACATTTCCGCTTCCTTCAGAAGATTGTTCTTGTAGTCTGCGGAGACGAACAGAGATATATTTGTCCAACTCTTTTCACAGGTGGTGCATTTTGAGAAGAAATATGAGGTAAACTCACCCAACTTCGTCTCCTCTTGGTTGCTTGACTTCACTTCTGGGATGCTTCGCTCACATTCTTTCTTAACAGGACAAAAAAAAAAAAAAAAAGATACAACTGTGTCCTGCTCTCCTTTTCACTTATTTCCTTGCCATATTATCACCTCTCTGCACTTCATTTTTCATCCGTTTCCAAATCTGCCCCTGGACCAGCCAGTGGCAAGGTACCTCTTATTTCCAAGATGGCTTCTCCATCTCTGCAGAGAAAAAAAATTAAAGAGAGAGAATTTGTGAATTTTGGAAAACATAATCAAATTTCAGAGGAATTTTGGTTTGCAAGTTGTTGGTTTTTTGAAAGAAATCTTAAATGGTTAGTTCACCCAAAAATGAAAATTCTGTCATTAATTACTCACCCTCATGTCGTTCCAAACTTGTAAAACCTTCGTTCATCTTTGGATGAATTTTCATTTTTGGGTGAACTAACCCTTTACTATTTTTGTGGAAACGACAATAAAAAAATTTTTCAAGGTTCTTTGATGAATAGAAAATTCAAAAGAAATGGATTCTTTGCTGAAGTCTTTACTGTGATATTTAAACAATTGAAAGCAATTTAATGCAACTTCCGACAACTAGTCTGGTATTTCTAGTTGTCTTAGTGAACTTTTGGCTTTATTCTTTGAAGTGAGCCACATGTTAGCTTTGTAAACCTCTCTCAGACAAGGAAAATGGCAAAAACAATCACAACCAATGATTCTACCTCTGTCCAGGTCAATAGCTTTTTGGGAGCAAAGTTTGGACATTTCCGCTTCCTTCAGAAGATTGTTCTTGTAGTCTGCGGAGACGAACAGAGATATATTTGTCCAACTCTTTTCACAGGTGGTGCATTTTGAGAAGAAATATGAGGTAAACTCACCCAACTTCGTCTCCTCTTGGTTGCTTGACTTCACTTCTGGGATGCTTCGCTCACATTCTTTCTTAACACATGATGTGTGGCCCCTAGATATATGACACACATTGACAGTTGATGCTTTATGCATAACTAATGTTCACAGATGGTGTTTTTAACATCAGTAGGTACTCACACATACGTCACCGTCGGCAGAGGTGGACTTTCGACTTTCCGTGGATCAAAATCCTGGCCTATGTTTTAAAAAATGCAAATATTAAATCAATTAATTCAATTAAATAAAATAATTACATAATATTTGAGCATACAAATGTCATATATTACCGACATGTTATATATAACTATATGGCTGAAAGACACTTCTGAAGTGCAACAAAGACATTTACATTATATATACAACTGAAATATAACTACATGCCTGTTTAGAGCAATAAAAAGCAAAAAACAGATGGAAAGGATGAATAAAAGGACAGAAAAAAACCTTGTCTTTTCCGGTGACGTGTGAGGAGAACGACAGCCAACACGATAAGAGCCAGTAAGAGGAGAGTCGCCAGGATGTAGCCCAGCTGCTGCAGGAAGTGACTCCTTTGCTCTGGCAAGATGACGTTGATTACATGTGGCGGCACTTCCACCATATTGGTGTCTAAAAGAAGATTATCAAGTATATGTATTGGGGAGTTTGGCCTTGAACTTGATCATTTTTTGTCATTTTTAGTAACCACCAGAGGGCCCTGTGCTACTTAAAAAGATTTATGCTACACAGAATCTTTTGCTGTGTAAATGCACACTTCAGCACTCCTCAAGGAGAGATATTACAGATTTAATCATAATCTGATTTCATGCCCTCTGAGAAATGAGACCAACATCATCTATGCTCCTGAGCTATTTATTCAGCTTCACATTAGCTTACATAGTATGACATAAAATAAATACTGCATAAAAAAACCCAAAAGTATTACGCCCCAAACACTAAGCAACTGAAGGTAACAAAAGTATATTTCAACAAAATAAGAATTAACATGTAAGGGCTTGACCCTCAGCTAAAGACAACGGAAGAAGCAGTACAGAGAGATCTGGCATTAGGGCTAAACAGATGTTGGAGGTGATTGTTTCTGGAGTTCAAAACATTGTGTTGGCAACACCAAGGTCATGGGATTGACTCTCAGAAAATACACACACACTGATAAATGTATACCTTGAATGCATTCTAAGTGGCTTTGGACAAAAATATCAAACTTGCGAATGTAAATGTTTTAAGCAGCACAGTTTGTGCACTAGTTTATTTTAATTGTACTCTGAATTCTGTGAGAAGTGCCGGAAACTGCCACGTGTTTTTCAGCTAGAATTAGATCCACTGTTTTTTTTTTCCTGGCAGGAAAACATGGATTTAAATAAAAAACAGAGGGAGGATGGGGGAAATGGGGGAGGTACTACCTGGTTTATTTTACTGAGTGACTTTGTCATTTTGCTTCCACAGGAAAATTAAATAAATTAAACAAATAAGCCAAACTTGCACCTCTTTGTCTATGATACAGACATAATAAAGACACGTAGCCTCTTTTCCTAGAAAAGAAGTATTATGAGATGTGGAAAATCACTCAGGGACTATTATGTTTGGACATTACAAAAGAGCCATGGCTGCCCTAGTGAAAAATAAATATACAATGTAAAATAAATGTATTTGAAATATATTTATTTCATGCTAAGTATGCTAAAAACACATATTTACATGTTAATGTACTTAATATAAATATCCTTCAACTGTACTAAACTGGTATACTTAAAGTCTACTAAATTGGAACAACTAATTTTGTACTTAATGCACTTTAATAGTGCTGAAGTCCAACTAAAGATATACTGAAGTACATTTGAGTGTGCTAAAGTGGAACTACTGCAAGTATACTTCGGGTAAAATTTAAATATCTTGCATTTAAAGACCAATATTATTCAAAGGTCATACAATCCTCATCAATAGTGGCATTAAAACACATTTTAGACTTAATATCAAGAAATGTGCATTGTGCACAAATAAAGTTTAAATATAACTTTTATATCAGTAAGTCTTGAAGCGAAATGTCAATAAATATGTTACAAGATTTGAACTATACTTAGTATGAAATAAATGTATTTTAAATATTTTACTTTTTTACTAGGGTGAAAATCAGAGAAGAGATTCTTGCTTCTTAAGATCTTATTAATATGAAGTTGTTGTTATTATTGTTTGAAGCTTTTTAGAGGCTTCTTACAAAAACAGCCTGAACGGCAATGTATATACAGTAAAATGTAATTAATTATTGCCATAAAAAATTAAAACAATGATATTTGTAATATTTCTAACAGACCACCACAAATTGTTGTAATGCAATCTTTCTATCACCCACTCTGTGGAAAACAAGCTAATTCTGCCAACTACTGTTTTAAAACATACCCATTAAGTAATTGTTACCTGTGAAAAACAGTTTCTGGCCTGTAATCTCAATCTTAGCCTCTTATTGTGTATGTCTGAACCCAGAGCACTGAGGGGAACACAGGCTAATATCGTAGGGTAGATTACTGTAATCAGTAACAGCTGAAGGATCTTCTACCCTCGTTTTTCAGAAGACCTCATAAAAAAAGCCGGATATGACTGGTTACTGGCAGTCAAGAGCCATGGTAAAGAACAACATAGTGTGTTCTGTCACAACATTGTACTGTTTTGCCTATAATAAAATGCATTTTTACTGAAATGGCAGCTACATAATTTCAAAACACATTAATTTCTGTATCTTTCACCTTAGGTAAACCACAAAGCAGGCTTCTCCACAAAAATATTTCTCTAACAGTGATTTTATGGTTATTATGCAAAGATGTGTTTTGCTTAGTTTCAGACTTCCCTTGCATGTTCACATCACAGATCTTTTTTTTTTTTAAACAAACAATTGCTTTAAAAGCAATAAGACATCTTCCAGATCTCGAGAAGCACTTTTTATTTCCTGCTTGTTCATGAACAGATGTCTTCAAGAATAGTCGTGTTTATGATGATGTTGAGTTTGGGCTCATGGTGAAAGCTGAACATTTATAGGCCAAACAATCCAGAAGAGGGCTTCCATGGGGACTTGTCTTGGACTGTCCTGCTTCTAAGACCATAGGGGAACATCAATATGCTTCAACCTTGCAACTTTTGAACAGTTATTGAAATGCCAGATCCCGGGGAAGCTGAAAGTGAGTGATTCACATGATTAGAACCACCTGGTCTAAAACGGCTGAACTATAGAGGATAAACAGAATTATGAAAAGTCCTAAAAGGAAGTGATTTTATGTAATGGCTGTGCTGGATCCAGACAGTTGTCTTTTTCTTCATGCTTAAACAAGACAGAGGAAAGGACTGAGACATTTTGGATGGCTTAAGAAAGGGTTGAGGGAAGGTTGAAGGGGGAATGAGGGGATGTTGAGGGTGGGCTGACCTAAATCCACAACAGTCTCCTCCTTATGGCTTATGGTCTGATGTTGAGCTCTAGCTACAGCTGGCCAGATGCTTTACAGATGAAGCAAACTTCCCTTTTCCTGCAGATAAACAAGACGCTGTCCAAAAACACTCCAGAAAGGACGGTGACGGAGGATAAAAAAAGAGAGAATGGCCAAAAACGAGAAAACTATGCAGTAAGAAATGAGAAAAAGAGCAACACGGGTAAGACAGATCAACAGAAAATTAAAGAAACAGAAGAAGGGAAATGCAATGCACAAGGGAGGATACAAAAAATCATGAAAAAAATCATGAAAGAAATGGGCAGATAAATAAGTCAAACCACAAAGAGATGCAGTAGTTAAAAGAGAAGAAGTGAAAGCTTAGAAGACGAATAGACTGCCAATCTGTATGACATTTGTAAGCAGTCTGCACACTGTACAATATAACAAAACATAGCTAGGGGTGTTGAGGAAATTTGATACTTTAAAGGAACAGTTTACCCAAAAAAATAACATTTGGTCATCGAAGTACCGCATTATTCTTTTGCTGCTTCTGAGTCATTTGTCACATAGAAGCACTGCAACTGAGTCATTTGAACTTAAGAGCTCGTGAGTCGTGAATGAATCAACCAGACCAGTGTGAACCAGATTGACGGATTCATTAAAAAGGATAATCAAAAGAATGATTCAAAAGAATAAATTAAATGACTCAAAACAATGATTAGCTGATCAGTCACAGCTACTCATCTCACAAATATGCAAAGGCGAGCGTCACGTTTTTCAGTTTTTCAGTGAATAATGACTTCAATTTTGGTGTGTTCTGAACACAAACTTGTCATAAGGTTTCGTGAAACTTGTAATATATAGTGCACAGGTTGTTTGGACTATTTTTACGATATTCTAATGTGCTTTTACAGCCTTTTAAAGCTTCCTTGATGTGTTCCACATAAGAAATAAAGTCATATGGGTTTGAAATTACATGAGGGTGATTAATAATGACAGAACTATCCCTTTAACTCAAGGAAGACAGCCAAGACAAACAACTGACATCAAAACAAAATACAGACACTGAACAACACAATGTATAAACAAGCAGTCACCGCAGATGCCCAATGCTTTTTGCCAAAAAAAAAAAAAAGAGGCCATGCAGAAATATTTTGTTGTTAATAATGAATTCAGCAGTGCAGAAAGTGTTTAGCTCTTTCCTTTCTTGCCCAAAAGTCTGTGATTATCCGCAAGATTCCACTGAGGTTTGTGTAGTCTAGGGTCCAGTAGAAGCAGTATTACTAAACCACAGAAAATGACTTTCCCACATTCTCTTATTAGTGGTTTTTCTGCCAAATCCCCACCCGTCTTTCCCCCTTTCTCTTTTGTCACTGTAAAAAATCATTAAAACGTATGCATTAATCCCTCTCTGTCTCATATATTTCCTTCCTTACTTTTATCTCCCAACTCACATTGCCTACCTCCCTGTCTTATGCAAATAAAAAAGCACTTTCTTATCCTCCTTTCCTCCCGTCTCCCTGGCAATACCTCAAAGAAAAACATAAGGCTATCGAATGATCCGAACCAGAGCAGAACTCAAACTGAGAAAGCGAGCTGTGACAGTGGGAGAGAGAACGGCAGTGGAATGCAAGTAAAAAAAAAAAAAGAAAGAGAGAAAAAGCGTGCTTGAAGCAAAAGAAGAATAAGCTTTAAAGGAGAACTGCTGCATTTTAATGAATGTGAACGTGGCAATCCACCGACAGCAGGGTAACCAGATCTGCACTTACCTCAGACTGTTTTAGGTCAGGATTGTTTGTTTGAGTTCATGCCCTGTGATTACATCCAACCTATTTACTTTCTTCTTTCTTTTTACTAAATTTGTTTATCATTTAGTTAATACAGATTCAATTCTGAAGACATAAAAAGGAGTCCCAGGGTGGTGGGTGTTTTTTTTCTTTGGCTCAATAAATGCTAATCAAGTAATTCAAAACTGTCCTGTAAAACAAGTGTAGACTATATCAGTAACAAGCATCAACCCTTGTCTTTTTCTCTTGTGAATATAAGCAAAACCAAGAACTTTAACAAATAAATAAAGGCAAACTAAATCAGGAGAACTCCCTAGCCTGGGACTCTAAGTTGCAAATATAGCATTTAACACATTTCTTCAGGAACATGCTGAAGATGCTCCAAGAGGGACGTTCTATTTTCTTACATTTACTTCTACCTGTTCAAGTAGTCTGCACTGGCATTTATCCACACGCAACTTGCAACAATTCCGCTGACAACCATTTTAGACTCACATTGTGAACAGCAGACTCGCATTCAGAAGAAAAATATTTAATGGAATCTGTGGTGCAAACAAGTCATAACGAGCCAAAGCAACAAACAAGAACTCCTGACAGCAGCAACTATTCGGTGATAAATTGGGGTAATTCTGGAAAAACCCTTGTGTGCTGTGAAAATGTTATTATACATGACTAGTAAAAAGCTGAAATAAAGAAAACTGAATAAATGAACTTGATTGAATTCATGCTTCTCATGATTGATCTCTTGATTCTCATGATGAATATCTTTTTATGGTCACACTTTATTTTAAGGCCCAATTCTCGCCATTAACCATTAACTACGGCCTTTCCCTCAATAAACTCCTAATTTGCTAATTATTAACAGTTAGTAAGGTAGTAGTTGTTAAGTTTAGGTATTGGGTAGGATTAGGGATGTAGATTATGGTCATGCAGAATATGTGCTTTATAAGTACTAATAAACAGCCAATATATTAATAATAGGCATGCTAATAAGCAACTACTTAATAGTGAGAATTGGTCCCTATACTAAAGTGTTACCATTTTTATTATACTTTACTGTTACTGTGGGTGTTTCTCTTACTTGGGTCTTCATTGGGAAGATACTGAGGTTCATCTGTGGGTTCCTGAGGGATCTGAGGGACTGGAGGCGTCACGGTAAGCTGGAAGATGCGTCTCTCATGCAGACCGCAGTAGTGATGGTGGAGATGACAAGAGTATAGCCCCTGATCCAGAGGCTGGATGTCTGAGATGATCAGAGAGAAATCTCCCTGCGAGAATGCTGTGGCAGAAATATTCATCTTTTGCTGAACAAACAGTGGTCCATAGTGACGCCTCTCACCAGAAGCGTACAGGTCGATGAGCCGATCGGCACGGTCGTGTCGGACCCCTGGAGGTTGATGGTCCCAGTGCACCACTTGTTGTTGGTCCTCCTGACTGTTGCCCTCTGTCCAGATAGGCCGGCGGTTAACGCAAGGGAGAACCACCGCGCTGCCCACCAGAACCACAAACACTGCCTTCTGACCATCCCAAAACCGCCTCTCCTTACGTGCTGAGAGAAAACCACAGCAACATGAATATATGAGTATGCATATATAATCAAAGATGGGTAGATTATAGGTAGGAATATTACTTGAGCACCAAATCAGCAGATTAGAATGATTTCTGAAGGATCATGTGACACTTGAAAATTCATGGAAAATTTCAGCTTTGCCATCACAGAAATAAATTACACTTTAAAATACATTCAAATATAAAAGCAATTTCAAATTGTAATAACATTTCACAGTATTACTGTTTAAGCACTATATTTTTTAAAAGGTTGGTGACTGGAGATGACCATCATTTCAAATGGTCTTCAGTCTTCACATTCTTTCCATTCTTTAATCAGCAGCCAGCACTTTATTTGGCATGAACTTGCACAGACAGAACAAGATGCACGTTAAATGCCAAGAAAAGCCAGACAAAAACCTCCTCTGAAATATGAACTGAATTTACCAACCTGATTTGGTGACATTGAGCTGAACTTTGATTGACTCATACAGGTGGCAGTAATGATGATGCAGGTTACAGGAGTAGATTCCTTTGTCACTCATTGCAACATCTGTATGAACCCCGACAAAATGTATTAATTTATTTAGAAAAGAAGCATCAGAGATGTTCCTAAACATTTTGAAGTGTGAAGATTTCTATGGAGTTCCAGGCGGTTGCCTTTGTATTGCCAAAAAGTATCTAACCTTTGATTACCAATGAGAAGTTGCCATCCTTAAAAGCAGTCTTGGGCATGTTAATGCGGCCCTGGTTGTAGCCGTTGTAGATGCGCTGGTCTCCAGCAGAAAACATGTCTATGACACGTTCCATTGCATGGTCTGGGCCACTACGAAGTAAATCCCAGTGCACTACCCTTTGGCGGTCCTTTAAGCGGTCTTGTGTCCACACCATGCGCTGACTATGACATTGCAATACCGCCTGAGATCCCTGGGAGGCGCTGATATTGTACATGGCCACCACCACTCCACTGCCATCACTTTGGCCTTGCACTGAAACACAAAGGGCCGGTTTCCCGGACACAGATTAGGCCTAATCATTGAAAAGCACTATCATATGTGATTACCCAAAGTAAATGGAGCAGTGCTGTTGTTGTAAACCATATGTTGCTTTAGCGCCAGTAAACTAGTGTTTTAAGTAATTATAGCATTCTCAGTCCTGCAGCTGCAGATACACTACTGTTCAAATGTTCGGGGTCAGTAAGTTTATTGAATGTTTTTAAAAATAAGTCTCTTATGATCACCAAGATGCATTCATTTGATCAAAAATACAGTAATATTGTGAACTAACATTACGGTTACAATATTACAATTGCAATTCTTTTCAAATATATTTTATTCAACAAATCTATTGTAACAATGTATTTGTCATTACTGTCACTTTTGATCAATTTAATGCATTCTTTCTAAAAAGTATTCATTTCTTTTTTTTATTAAACCAAACTGACTTTAAACTTTTGAACGGTAGTGTATATTTTGGGATATTTATACCGTTAGGTAATATGCTCGATACACTTTGATGAACATTTTATAGTTTTAAGATGCAAGTAATGTGCTTACCAGGGCTGAAGAGGAATGAAGCCAGAACTGTAAAATAGGCAAACAGAAAAACGAGTTAAAATTACATACATAGGTGACCTCGTGTTTTTTCTCACTAGGTTAAAGACTAGAGATGCGGGATTTATCACTGTGTTTTCATAAATAACTGTTTAAACGAGTAGCTCTGAAAAATCAACAGGCCCTTGAGCTGCACTGTTAATCTGACAGGCTGGGTGATGGCAAACTACCCTCAGAGGGCTGCTGAGCACAATAAAACAATATACATATTATCAGAACAATACAGCAATAGACAAAGAGATTGAGAAATGCAGTGATGGCCAGCCATGTAGGTTTCTCTGTTTGTGTAACATTTCTATGTCAGCAAACATTTTGGGAAAAATAAGCAGCATCAATATTTTGCAGACCTTATGTCTGGAAGGACTATTTATGGATGTTTGTATAAGTCTGTGACCCTCAGAAATAAACACCTCTTCGTACGTCTGCAAGAAGAATCGAAATACTCATGGCTAATAAAACACTCCTTTGTAAACTCTGGTTAACTTTAGACGTAGAATATAAACATTTAACTAGAGATTACCTAGGCCCACATTATTCTCAATTACTGAAATTTCTGTCAAATCAACCTTAAGGGGATAGTTTACCAAAAAAAGAATGAAATGCGCTTGTTCATGAGAGAATGTTTGATCTGTTAACAAACCAGTCATATGAATTCATACAGTTCTGGAACAACATGAGGGTGAGTAAATGATGGCCATTTTTATTTTATGAACTTTATGACTAAGGGAGTGGTTGGAATGTCCCAGATCCTCTCGCATTAAAGAGGGTCAGGGGCAATCCAACCACTCCCTTATTCATAAAGTGGGAACAATTTCTGTGCTTTCTTTTTCAGCATGCTGAAAATATGAGAGATTTATATAAAATGGGTTGGCTTACTTTTTTAAATTTTATTCTCACAACCTACACATTTAAAGAAATACAGTACAAAAGACAAACAGACAGTCTGTTGGATGAACAAGACATTTTAACGGTTCACAACCAGTTCCTTTGAAAGAGCAGTCTAAAATATAATGCTTTTTAGAGACTTTTACAATAAAGAAAGAAATTCATCATAGTTAAACTGCACAGTAAATACTTCTCCTCACATGGGTTTTCATCTTTGTTTGGTCTTTGAGGTTTGTTGTATGTCATAATGATTTTGTGTCAAACGAGAGAAAAAGAAATGTACAGCAAATCCTGAGAGCATTAGAAAGGCAGTAATAAGGATGTGTTAGAAGCCAGAGAAACCACAGCCATCAGAATGAAAGGCAGAGGAAGAGGGAGAGGGTCAAGGGTTTGGAATCTGCTGAGGAAGCACTTTGAAATGCAACAACGTGTCCGTTTGCTCATATATCCGTATTTCATTCACACATGCACACTCATATTCACACAAACATGTTGAGGGCAAAGCTACACCTGCACAGAGACTGTAAACCTACAAAACTGCATATCTCGTTCTCTATCTTTCTCATATTTTCCCAAAAATTACAATTCTGTGCCATTTACTAACCCGCATGCCATTATGACTTTCTTTCTTCAGTGAAAAACAAAAGAAGATCTTTTAAAGAACAATAACTTTGGACCCAATTGACCTTCTTTGCATGAAAAATACTTTTGCGTTTCGAGGAATTTCATTACATTTGGACACTTTCATGTTGGAAAACTGCTGATAAAAAGCATCTTTTTTATTTGACATTCCTCTATTTTCTTTAAGTCTGAAGTCAGGGCTCAGATGTTCTTTCATGACATTCATGGAACATGGACGCTTCAAAGGAACCGAATATAACTGAATAAAGAACTGTATTTTTAATGATGGAGATGATTTCAAAAATAGTTCTACACCTGAAATGAGCCAGCGTTCTCAAACTAAGCCCAGTACAAAACTTAGAGCAGTGCTGTTTGTCAGGCCTGGGATTAAAGCCTTGTAGTCAAGGTTCGTTTACATGGGTTAAACTAGGTAAGGCTTCACTTTTGTTGATTTACAGACCTGCTGAGTGTGCAGAATCATAATGTTATGGGATTTTCCACTCAAAACCTACAACAAAATGTCTAGTATATTAACTAGGGGATAAAGTGAATATAGTAAGTATAGTGAACATTTTACTTTAGTAATTCAGTGTATGGAGCATTTAGTAGGCTGGATGGATGTAACAAATCCTTTTAGAAGTTGTATGGAGGCAAATTCAAACAGAGTTCAGTTTACAGTGAAACATCATACTCTAATTGAGAGGGGGGGAAAACCTGACCAATGGGGCCAGACTTAACTGACCAAAACTGGTTAATTATAAGTTTACAATACTGACTCAACCTGTGATAAGATGAGTAGATTTGAATAATATTTGTTTTAAATAAAACCATATGCCTTTGCTGTTTGTTAAGTGAATCACTCTGAGTCACTCCTGAGTTCGAAATATGCAATTATTTTAGGTAAAAAAAATTCTTGATTCATTAGGTTTTCAGCACAAAGGCCTCCACAAGAATAAGCTTCAGCTCTTGGCAACTCCTCACTGGATGAGATACTTAAACAAGAAGAGAAAAACAAGGCCATCTTGGACAAACATCTCATACTTACCACCACAAAATAAAATTCCATGCCACATCTGGCATTTATTCCACAGAATGTCCAGAAATATAGTCTTTTTTTTCTTTTATGTGCTTAAATTTTGGTGCTTCTATCAAGCAGACCAGTTTGTTGGGAGCAGAAACTTTTCTGTGGGTTAGTTCAAAACAAAGTCATCAGTCTTGTACACGAGTTTGAATTTAGTTATCTGCGCCAGATGGTTTTGGCATTTGGGTCTGGGTCTCAACAGTGCAAAATACAGACTGAAAACCCATTACATGACATTATGACGTCATGTTTAAACGTTTAAACAGCAGAAAATATTCGCAAACGTGTACAGTGACTCTCAAGACATGCAAAGATATACACTCAGGTGAGAGTGGCATGTTTCTTGCACACCATATATACAGTACCACACAAACATGCACACTTGAGCCCAATTTAGCATTTTAGAAGTCTGTTTAAATATAATAGACCATCTTTATTCATTTACCTATTCTTCTCTCAGCTCTCAATGTAAACAGAACCACAAAAAAACTTTAAGAACAACACCAACTTTGTCTTTGGATACAGGTACATCAGATACTCACGTTGAGCCAAGAAAAGCGCTCGAGCGCACAAGGGTACAGCCAAGTTCATGTCCGTTATCCTCTTGGGTTAATCACTCTTGGATGTGTTGAAAGCAGAATAACGCCGAATTAGCACGCTTTATTCTCCTGACAAACTTCTACGGCGAAGAAAGACTTGCTGTTAGTCGACCAGCGACATGAGCGGCAGCTGCAGACAGTCTGCTCCACAGACCTACCTTCAGTATTCACGCTCTCTCCGCCTGGCCTGCCCCCTTTAAACACGAACAACAAACCATGAGCTACCGTCTTTGTCCATATCCCTGTAATCCATCAGGGGTGCTGATGCAAAAATATTTGCTGATGACTCAAGTTTTGCGAGCAAACGACAATCTCAAAAGACAGTTCATATGAGAAAATTAAATGTCTCTAAAAAGACTAATGTCTTTCAGATTTTGTGTTTTAGGAATTTTGTGTAAAAGTTTCAGCACTGTTTAGTTTTATATGAGGATGTATGTAGCTAGGCTATTAGCCTACAGCAGTGAACGGTTCGATTTGAAAGATCAAACAAGTTTGCGTTTCTTCTTACTGAAGAAATGTTCCTTCCATATATTTTCCCCCCATAACCATGTCCCCTTATGGAATAGAAATCACTGTCACTCCGTTCAACTCATATTTGCTGTGCTGGGTCGGCTTTCAAACTGTGAATTTGGCGACACGTAGGCATGTAGGATGCGTAGGTAGCAGAAAACGCTTTGCGTGATCTTTGAGTTGCATGGCCTACCATATCGACAGAGACATGTGTGGAAAGACCTGGTAATAATTAGTTAAGGTGGCCCCAGTCGCTTTTTCATCAGGGTGTTGGTGGTGTGTTTACAGGCGTTGCTCACAGCATGGCTATGAGCCACAGTGCAGACTCAGCTCCCGCAATGAGCAATAAAACTCTGGGGTTACAACCGCTCAAGACTCTGCTAAGAACCCAAAGACGTCTGCCAGCAAAGAGAGAAGGGACAAGTATTACTACAGTTAACCTACTTAAGGCTATAAATATGTGGAAGCAAATTCTTTATACTGAAAACTAATTGTCATAACTGATATAGCACGTGGCACATATAGTTCTAAACATTATACCTTATTTCTAAACATAGTGCCTCAGAGGATTTTTCATCTCAGCCTGCTCATATTTGGGTTTACATAAAAATGATGATGATGGAAAAATAGGTTGCATGACCATCTCTCCATCAGCTGTACAAACAACATATGAAGTCAAAGATTTAAAAAAAAGTAGATATTTGCTGCCACCTTGTGGATCACTGGAATATTCCAATTTTATATTTGACAGCTCAACAGCTCACCAGTATGATCCTGGAGTCTTTCCTCACTGCACTCTATATAACCATGTTGCTTCAAAAAGGTTACAAAATGAAAAATATGCACATATTGTTAATTAAACATGATTAGGGTGAGACAAGGAGCATTCAGATTTGCTTGGAAGGACATAAAAATTTGAAGTCACTCTCTTCCCCCTTCTTTGTTCTGATGTCAATTTTTGGAATATCTTCTCATTAACAACAGATGATATCATTAATCCAGTTTCATAAATAAACAAAATGGACCCATTTTGGCATCTGAAGCATTTTAATTGGACGTTTGCAGGTTGTGTTCTCTCTTTAGAATCACTGTGCAAATATTTAACCTGTAAATATTGAAGCTACATATGTAAACTGATCAAATCCAGGCATAAGACATGGATTCAGCCCTTATTTTGGTGTCAGTTGACAAATCAGAAACAGTGCTAACCATTCAAATAGCAAAAAGAAACATAACAATCAAAAGGCATCAACAATAAGGATATTTTCTACTAAACAAAGCAGGTTCAATAAATACCATATTTACAGAACACTGAAAAAAACAAACAAATGCATGCAAGTTTATTATTGTGGCGTTTGAAGCAAAAGTAGTCCACAGTTGTTCTTTTTTGACTTTTTTTTTCATATCAAGTGTGATTCAGTAAATTCCTACAACCTAAAAGAGTAAATCTATTTTAGGCGTTTCATGAGCTACATCATCTAGCATTGCAAAAAAAGCCCTTAGGACTCAAATGACAAATGACAATTCAGGTCAGTTCTGGAATTAAGAGTGCTTTAGAGTTTATATTCATACTTTTTGTGAAAACAGACCTCCACAGGGCAGTAATGCATGGAGTAGAGGTTAAACGTTAGACACAATGTCCCTTTTACTCTGCAAAAGCCCTGACTAGTGCTTCGTTAAATAAAAATTGACTCAAGTCTCTTTTTGTCAGACAGGTATTATACAAAATGAGCGTCTTTGTATATATGACCCTTTAACATCATATTCAATATTAAATTAGTGAATTATGATAATGGCTTTTAACTGAGAGTTCCACAGCGTTCTCCCTGGTTCTGCCTGTTTATATTTGAGTCACTGACTTGTACGTCCTCTTGGGTACAGATGTAGTCTTGGACTAAAGACTAGGTTTAAGTCCCACCAATAGACCAGCTAATGGCATCAGCTTCATTTACTCAAACACTAAACTTCCCTAGAGAAACAGAGAGAAACAGAAAAATTTTAATATAAATAGCAAATTTATAATATATCTTTGATGTGACATCATCATTTATATCATTTCAGAGCAACTGCCTAGCATTTCATAACAACAGATCATCACTCAAACATAAGGGAACAATTAGAGACCTTCCACAAGGTAAAAATAGATACAATACATGGAAAAAGGTGAACAACTCAGTACTCAGGATTCTAGATCCAGTCATTCTCTCCGAAGGTCCAATTCTCTAATAACTCTGGGTGGAGACTGAGATTATTAGATAAAAGACACTGGGGACAAAAGCGCTGGATGTTGAAATGCCAACTCCCCATGAAGGCTAGACAATAGGGGCTTGGCTATCCTGTGCCTGCCTGACTGAGATCAGTGCGTCTCACCCTATTAAAAGCTATATCAGAAGAGCACATTGTCTTCTAATGGGCTGAGTACACACTGATGGCAAATGACGTGACACACTCTTTGGAGAACATTAACAATGAGGAGGACACGCTGTGCGAGCATGTCTGGACAATGAGGGAGAGTTCTGTAACAAACTGTCAGCAAGCTATTGGAGAGAAGACAAGAGTTTGAGGGGTACATACTAATGCCTAGTGTTGACATCTTTTTATAGCATGTTTATAAGAATGGCTAATTTACCATGTGCAGTTGGTGAATAACGACAAGAACTAAGCTACATGTTTGTATTGCAACTTGCTTGTGGATACAAGACTGAAATGATATTTTGCATTAAATATCAAACCTGTTTTAGGAACATTTTCATGACAAAATATTCTCAGTTAATAAAAATCATCATGTCCAGGCAGGCACAAGCACTAAATTAAAATCTGCATGAATTACATTTAGTACAACAAATACTACCAAATTCTATTTTACAAATGTATACTACTGTTCAAAATTTTGAGTCAGAAGGATTTCTTTTAAGGATGCATTAAATTGATAAAAAAATGACAGTAAAGACATTTACTAAATAAATAAATGTTGTTGATTTGAACTTTCTATTAATCAAAGGTACCTAAAAATATCACCGTTTCCACAAAATATTATGCAGCAATATTAATAAAAATATTGCTTTCAACATGTTTCTTCTTTCAACACGTTATCTAGTTTAATGTTTTCAATATTAATAAAACAAACCTTTTCTCGCTACAGCAACAAATGAAGACTGAAATAATGACTGCCGAAAATTCAGCTTTGCCATCACAGGAATAAAAAACATTTTAAAATATATTAAAACAGAAAAAAACTGATAAATTGTAAAAATATTTCATAATATTAATGTTTTTACAGTACTTCGGATCAAATAAATGTAGCCTTGCTGAGCATATGAGACTCTTTTCAAAAACATTTAAGAAATCTTACTGACCCCATACATTTCTGGTAGTGCACTTTAAAAATTGTATATATTTTTTTAATAATAGTAATGATAATTATAACTTTTTATTACAACAAGCTACTGACAACTGGGGACATCAGTATTCTTAATTGTCATGAAAATAATGTCACAGTGTAAAAATACCCTAAAACGGGCTTCCTTATCAACAAAATAAATATAAAATGTATTAAATAATAATATATTAGCCTATATAAAATTTATTATATATTAGATTTATGAAAAGTATTGTTTTCATGTTATACATTATAAAGTGTATTTTATATTTTGGTTTGAAATATGACCTAAATATGTGAAATATTGTAGACTTACGATGCTGTCAGTGTTGAATTGAGCACCATGGTAGCACGTATCCTGTGCAACTGAGCCAACATCAGTTTCTTATGCTGCTGATGTGGCTGCTGGGATAGCACCAAGTCACTCTTTTCCTCCAGACCACCAGAGGGCGGTGTCTCATTCTCTTTAGTCTCACAGTCCGCCTCGCCATTGGGGCAGCTGAGGGTCCTTTGCACGTGCCTGGCCTCTGCTCTCCTAAGCGTGTTGGTCAGCTTGCTGGACAGTGCTTTGGGGTCTCTACGGAAGTCTTCCTCGTCTGACTGGAATCGCTCTGTGCTGTGAGACGTCTGTTTGGCGAGGTGTGTCAAGCTCTTGCTGACGTTGTTCCTGCCAGAGGAACAGCGAGGAGCTGTGAGGCATTGAAGCAGGTCGTCCTCGGAGCGTGACCTGAGGGCAAAGTACTGCAGGTAGTCTGGACGGGGCTGGACGGGCGAACGGCGCCGCAGTGTATGTGAGCGACAACCCGGGGCCTGAGACATCCCAGAAAAATCATTCTTCTCATTGTCTGCATGGCCATCTGAAACGTAGGACTCATTTACAGTAATCTGAGAGCCGTTCCAGGTTATTGAATCCTCCTCATCACCATCTTCATCATCCTCAAATGCCTCTTCTTCCTCCCCAGCATCGGTCTCTTCTCCCTCGCTCTGGCAAACCGCTCCCTTTAAGTCCAGCTCTGCGATCAGGGACTGAGGCGAGAGAGTTCCGTACGCACTGTCTATAGAAAGAGAGCGACTTTCTGGATCCATGTCAGTGGCAACCAAATCACTCAGACCTTCCAGAGTTTTGCTGTCATTAGTAGAGAAGGAATCCCGCAGGCTTGATGAAGACAGCAGGGAGTTTCTCAACGAGGCAGTCTGAATGGTCGACAAGGACCCAACCTCATCCGTTTCTTCCATAGCTGCCACGGAAAGAGTTTCCGTGGAGCCATCAGAGTGACTTGGTGAAAGAGTTTTGGAAAAGAAAAAATAA